GGCAGCGCCGATACAGTCCTCGATGTAGCGGAGGAAGAGGTGGGGGATAGTGTCAGTGTAACAGCGGAAAAGGGACTGTTCCATGTATCCTATGAAGAGGCAGGCATAGCTTGGGCCCATGCCGGTGCCCATGGCCACCCCCTTCATCTGTAGGAAGTGGGAGGATTTAAAGGAGAAGTTGTTAAGGGTAAGGATGAGTTCGGTTAAGCAGATGAGGGTGTCAGTGGAGGAGGACCGGTTGGGCCTGCGGGAGAGGAAGAAGCGGAGGGCTTTTAGGCCATCTGCATGGGGGATACAGGTGTACAGGGATTGAATGTCCATAGTGAAGATGTATGTTAGTAGGTATTGTGCAAAAATATGTCTTCAAATCTTTGTCTTCAAGTCTTTGAACCGTGGCCTGCCTATCACTGTATTGCAAACAGCTCCTTTGTATCTTCACTTCATTTTAGTTTTATTTTGTGCATATCACATCTGGTGAACCCATAGGAAACCTTTGAGGACGTCTTGAGGACTCTGGTGAGCTGCCTGAGTAAATGTCTGGCAAAAGTCAGGAGCCTACTACTTCTGATCACAGCATTGATCCAAGGACCTTATGGGGACGCAGTGTCCAAATGCAGCTTTAGAGATAACAACTTGGACTTGGATCAGTTCTTTGTAATGCGTGTGAATTACACAACTGTGGGGAATACATACAATGTAGAAAGTATGAGATATGATATACAGCACAGGGAAAGGATTATTAGTGACAAAATATCGTTTGCAAAAGGGAACTTTGTTTTTTCAGTGTTCATCATTTGCATTCCAGTATTTTCAAAATTGTTAAGGTTACTATTCTGGATTTGATAGCAAATTGTTTATTTTACCAGTGTATGTATGTGTGTAGCTAAATCTTTCATGCATCTTTCTGCATGCAATCCCTTGAAGAAATGCATTTATTTTTTATGTGTGAAATATAGCTGCAACCTGTGAGATATCATGCCTTATATCACTATTAAATCTATTTATAGTAGTTGGTACCACTAGTAGATATCTTCACTGCAGGCAGAGGTGAGCTTGCAAGATGGATAAAAAACTGGCTCAGTCATAGAAGACAGAGGGTAGCAGTGGAAGGGTGCGTTTCTGAATGGAGGGCTGTGACTAGTGGCGTTCCTTAAGGATCAGTGTTGGGACGTTTGCTGTTTGTAATATATATAAATGCTTTGGAGGAAAATGTAACTGGTCTGATTGGTAAGTTTGCTGATGACACAAAGGTTGGTGGAATTGCGGATAGCGATGAGGACCGTCAAAGGATACAGCAGGATATAGATCGGTTGGTGACTTGGGCAGAGAGATGGCAGATAGAGTTTAATCCGGAAAAATGTGAGGCAGTGTATTTTGGAAGGTCTAATCCAGATGGAAGATATACAGTAAATGGCAGAACCCTTAAGAGTACTGATAGGCAGAGAGATCTGGGTGTACAGGTACAAAGGTCACTGAAAGTGGCAACGCAGGTGGAGAAAGTTGTCAACAAGGCATATGGCATGCTTGCCTTCATCGGCCAGGGCATTGAGTTTAAAAATTGGCAGGTAATGTTGCAGCTTTATAGAACCTTACTTAGGCCGCATTTGGAATGTTGTGTTCAATTCCGGTTGCCACACTACCAGAAGGATGTGCTGGCTTTGGAGAGGGTACAGAAAAGATTTACCAGGATGTTGCCTGGTATGGAGGGCATTAGCTGTGAGGATAGTTTGGAGAAACTTGGGTTGTTCTCACTGGAACAACAGAGGTTCAGGGGCGACCTGATCGAGGTCTACAAGATTATGAAGGGCATGGACAGAGTGGACAGTCTGAAGCTTTTTCCCAGGGTGGAAGAGTCAGTTACTAGGGGACATAGGTTTAAGGTGTGCAGGGCAAGGTTTAATGGTAATGTACGAGGCAAGTTTTTTTTACAGAGGGTGGTGGGTGCCTGGAACTTGCTGATGGGGTCGTAGTGGAAGCAGATACGACAGTGACTTTCAAAAGGGCATCTTGACAAATACATGAATAAGATGGGAATAGAGGGATATGGTCCCCAGAAGGGTAAGGGGGTTTTAGTTAAGATGGGCAGCGTGTCAGTGCAGGCTTGGAGGGCCAAAGGGCCTGTTTCTGTGCTGAAACTTTCTTTGTTCTAACACAGTGCACCGTGCAATAGAGAATGTTTGCAATTTATTGTGCAAGAGGTGTATAGCAAAAAATACAAACATATGGACATTTTACGGTGTCAGAAATGAAGACCAGAATCTTTTTGATCACCAAATAAATGAGCAGGTTGGCAACTTTGTATAGTTTTTAAAATAAATATTTACGGCTTCATCCCAGTCCTGCCAATCTTTGTCAGCAAACCATTTCCTTTTATCTCTTCTTTCAACAGACTAGAATTGCCTTCCTTGACTCTGATAAAATTCTCTGTTTCTGGCTTGAGCTTAGGATTCAGTTTAGTTTTATATCAGTTAGGATGAATATTTACAGAATATTGCTCTGGTCAGAACTGGAGTATTGTGCCCACTTGTATGATGTTGGTTTGCAGTATGTTGTTATTATTTGAGAATTTTGATCTGAAAATGGAAGAAAAATAAAATTCAGTTTTCAATTCTATGAAGGCCACTAGGTACTAAGTGACTTGATAAACTACCTGGGTTTATTTGTTGAAATGTTTACAAAGTTGAATATTTATGGCATAAAGAAGGACTGCCCTGAGCCACAATCCCATTTCTGTTGAGAAGAACAGTTTCATACCAGCAGAAGAGCAGTTTAGTTTGTGGCAGTTTAGATATTTAGAATTGACAAGAAGGCAAAGCTGTCAGAACTGGAAGGTAGAGTAAGCAATTGTCAAGTTGAAATCCGATGTTTACCTCATTGGGGTTGAATTACTGTGAAGAGCATTACTGGGGCAAATCAGGTAGAATATTACTTTACATGTACTTACTTTTTATGTACAGATGTTTCTAAATTTTCTTGGTTACGGAAAAGAAAAGAAGAAAGTTATGTTCTTTTGCTAAAAGAACTTTGGCGAACTAGCGTGAATATGTTCTGTAACCTGAAACCATAGTAATCAAATTATAAAATAAAACTTGTGATCTATCAAAACAGGTTTCATTTTGAGGTCTGACTCACACAGTCAGCTGGGATCATAACTGGAGGTGTTAGAAAGGGTGAGAAAGTATAGCCTCCCTTGAGGCAAAATGGTTGAGGGGAGATTTGATAGAAGTGTTGAAAATCATGAAAGATAAAGGGAAATTATTCCCATTGGCAGATAGATCAAGAACCAGCGGACAGTATTGTAAAGTGTAAGGCAAAATAATCAACAAGGACATGAGGAAAAGCCTTTTCACACAGCAAGTGGTTGGGATTTGGAGTACACTGCCCGAGAGTATGGTGGACACAAATTCATTTGTGGCATTCAAAAGAAAATTGGAAATTGAAAATTGTAAAACTAGACAGAAAGTGGATGAGTGGGATTTGCCGAGTTGCACTTCAACTGATTCACATGGGCACTACGGACCTAATTGTTACCTTCAGTGCTGTCACCATTCTATCACAGAAAGGAGGCTACTTGACCTCATCACGTCTGCACTGGCTGTCTAAATCAACATCATGACTCCATGCCATTGTTCTGCCTTTTCCCGATAACCTTGCACATTGTTTCTGTTTTAATTAATCAACCAGTGTTCTCTTGAATGCCTAAGTTGAACATACATCCTCCGTACTTGCAGATAATGCATTCCAGGCCTGAACCACCACAAATCCTACTATTCTACTTTGTCCCAGTTCTCCAAATGTTTCAATTTTCAATTTTCAATTTTCAATTTCCGATTTTCTTCTGAAAGCCAAAATGCTTTTTTTCTCACATTTGCTTCTTTTTGAAGTCACTTTAAGTACATGCTGTCTTGTTTATGAACCTTTACATGCAGAACAAGTTCTCCCTGTCTACTCTATCCAATCTCCTTTTCGAAAGCATTTATCAGATCTCCTCTTAGCCTTGCTCTGTTTGTGGAGATGGGTACCAATGTCTCCAATCTATTCTAATAACTGAAGTTTTCATCCCTGGAGCCATTCTTCTAAATCTCTTCTTCAGAGAAGAATGATCACTCATTGTCAACTTGTGCTATTTGAAGAGTGATTCACTTCTTTGTTTCAAATGGAATGATGTAGAACAGACGGACCAAGGCGTGCAGGTACATAATTCTTTGAAGTTTACGTCACACATGGACAGGGCAGTTAAAAAAGTGTCTGGCACGCTTGCCTTCATTGCTCAGTCCTTTGAGTATAGGAGTTGGGAAGTCATGTTGAGGTTGTACAGGACATTGGTGAGGCCTCCTCTGGAATACTGTGTCCAGTTCTGGTTGCCCACTTATAGGAAGGATATTATTAAGCTGAAGAGGGTTAAGCAGAGATTTACCAGGATGTTTCCCGGTATGGAAGGTTTGAGTTATAAAGACAGGCTGGATATGCTAGGACTTTCTTCACTGGAGCGTTTGAGGTTGACAGGCGAAGTGATAGAAGTTTATAAAATAATGAGGGGTATAGATCGAGTTAATGGTAGTTGTCTTTTTCCTGGGATTAGGAATTTCAAGGCTAGGGGACACATTTTTAAGGTGAGAGGAGAGAGATTTAAAAAAGACATTGGAGGGAAATATTTTACACAGAGGGTGATTTGTGTTTGGAATGAACTTCCTGAGGAAGTGTTGGATGTGGGTATGATTACAATTTTTAAAAGACATAAGTAGGTGAATAGGAAAGGTTTGGAGAGATATGGGCTAGGAGCAGCCAGGTGGGGCTAGTTTGGTTTGGGATTATGTTCGGCATGGACTGGTTGGACGGAAGGTTATTTCTGTGCTGTATGACTCTATGCATCATTTTCTGGTGCTATTAAAACATGATTCATGCTGATATATGTAGTGGATCGTAAGTGAAATTGGTAATTGTAATTCAGATCTCTGCAGACCTGCTTTGTTGGTGAGATGTGATGTTTTTCATTCTAGACACAAAAAAAAGTACCTTGTTAAATGGTGGAAAGAAGTTCACGTAGGGGATTTCATTCGATTGTCTTGCAACGAGATCATCCCTGCAGATATGGTGCTGCTGTATTCCACTGATGTTGATGGGATCTGCCACATTGAAACCTCCAATCTGGATGGAGAAACCAACCTGAAGCAGAGACAGGTTGTTAAGGGATTCACAAACCTGGTGAGATATATCTTTTGGGAATAAAGGCCAGCAATAAATGAACTACAGCTTTTGTGATAATTCCTACTATGTGTACTGCTAATTCTGCAATTGTTAGTCACAATAACCAAATATTTTGCTTATCTGTAAATATTTAGTATTGGGAATATGTGCATGATTATGAATTAAGTCAGTAAAGACTTAATGGTAGGGAATTTAGCCTTAACCAATCAAGATTTTAAAAATATCTCCTTATTAATTGCAGGTCTAGTTATAAGGATTAAGTCTATAATCCTCCATTCCAGAAGAGAGCTTCACCCACAGAAGGCACAGATCACAGTGTAGCCCTGCCAAACATATAAAATAGGAGCAAAAATAGACCATTTGGCCCCTCAAAACTGCTCTGTCATTCAGTAAGATCATAGCTAATCTATGTGTGCTTTGAACTCCACAATCTCATCAACCCCATTAACCTTAAATTCTTATTAGGCAAGAGAATCAATCTACTTCTGCCTTAAAAATATTTAATGACCTCTCTTCCACAGACATCTGAAGCATAGAGTTCAAAATCTGCTAAAACCTCAAAGAAAAAGCATCACCATTTTTATCCCAAAAAGGCACTCCTAATTACAAAACAGTTCCCCCTAATGCTGAAATCGCCCCAAGCGGGAACTTCCTTTCCACATGCATCTTATCAAAACCATTCTATATCTTATAAACTTCAATCAAGTTACCCGTCATTTTCTTAACTCCAGTGGGAACAAACCCAGCTATTCCTACCTAACCTCAAAAGACAACCAGTTATCTATCTTTTAAGCCTTGTCTAAAAAGTATCCCCAATCCATATATATACTACCTTAATACGGAGATCAAGGCCACAGTATTCAAGGCATGGACTCAATAATACGGCTTTTATAGTATAACATTTTTTTATTCTTATGTTCAACTGTGCTTTTAATAAAAGTTAGCATCCCATTGGCATTCCTGACTATGTGCTGCACATGCATACTATGTTTTCGTAACACTTGAATGGGAACACCTAAACTTCACTGCAGCTCAACATTTCACAGCCATTCCCCATTTAAGCAACGCTCTGCTTTGTTTTATTTTTCCTGTCAAAGTAAACAATTTCAATTTTCTGAATTTACCCTGCTTCAGCCATATGTTTGCTCACCCACTCAATCCATCCTTACCTGTCTACAACCTCCTTATGTTGTCTTCACAGCAAAGTTTCCTACTCATCTTTTTGTCGTCTGCAAATTTAGTCACCACACCTCAATTCCCTCATAAGTTATTGATCTAAATTGTACAGGTTGAGAGCCGAGCAGAGATTTGCATAAGACTCCAGTCATCTTTTGCTGCCAATCAGATGTAGTCCCATTTATATGTACTCTTCGTTTTCAGCTAGCTAACTAGCCTCTATCCATGCTAATCTGTTACAATCTATACCAAGAGCTTTTATTTTCTGTGATAGCCTTTTTTATGACACCTTATCAAATGCCTTCTGGACATTCACGTGCAGTATGTCTACAGGCTTCCAATTATCCACAACGTATATTACTCCAATAAATTGGTTAACATAGAATCATTCAGTTACACAGCATGGAAACAGACCCTTCGATCCAACTTGTCCAAATCGACCAGATATTGGAAACTGATCTAATCCCATTTGCCAGCATTTGACCACTACCTTCTACCACCACCACCACCCTGCACCTCTCCCCA